AGGAAATGTGTATTTACATATTTCTGTAAGATAAATCTTTTTTTTTTTTTTCTGAGACAGAGTCTCGCTTTGTTGCCCAGGCTAGAGTGAGTGCCATGGCGTCAGCCTAGCTCACAGCAACCTCAAACTCCTGGCTCAAGCAATCCTGCCGCCTCAGCTCTCTCAAGTAGGTAGCTGGGACTACAGGCATGTGCCACCATGCCCGGATAATTTTTTTTATATATGTTATATTAGTTGGCCAATTAATTTCTTTCTATTTATAGTAGAACAGTGTCTCGATCTTGCTCAGGCTGGTTTCCAACTCCTGACCTTGAGCAATCCTCCCTCCTTGGCCTCCCAGAGTGCTAGGATTACAGACGTGAGCCACCGTGCCCGGCCTTGTAAGATAAATTTCTAAAAGTAGAATTTCTATTAGGGAATTTATAGGTCAAAGAGGATAGTGATTTATATTTTGACAGATGCTATGGCTTTAAATGTCTGTCCCTGTCTAAGCTCATGTTGAACTTAATCCCAGTGTGGTAGTATTGAGAGGTGGAGACTTTAATAGGCGATTGGGTAATGAGGGCTCTGCCTTCATTAATGGATTAATCCATTCATGGATTAATGGTTCATCAGGGGAGTGGCTTTAATGAAGAGGAAGAGAAACCTGAACCAGCACCAGTCCCTGGCCATGTGATGTCCTGCGCTACTCAGGACTCTGCAGAGAGTGTGGTTGTGTAAGTGGAAAGGGACCTCCACCTTTCACAAACATAACTCAAAGTGATCGTAGACCTACCTAATGTAAATGCAAACTAGAAAACTCTACAAGATAACATAGCAGAGAACTAGATGACATTCGTCTGGAGATAAGTTTTTATGTGCAACACCAAAAGCAGATCTGTGACAGAACTGCGTGGGGCATCTCTGTTCTCTAAGTGATAAGTGGATCCAGGCAGACCCAGGAGCCACACTGGGGAGTCTGCACCGTGCCTGGAGACAGGCGGTGCCAGGAGCGAGTCAGCCAGAGGCTCTGCTGCTTCCAGGCTTGCTCAGTTGGGGCCGGCTTTCCTTCCACAAGACTCCTAAGCAGGAGACAGAAACGAGTCCTGACGACCATCCTAACGTGTCTCTCATCGCCTTAAGACTTTGAAACACAAAAACTGTAATATCATAATTTTCATTTTATTATTGCTTGTTAGTTGGTTAAAACAATGCATTCTGCTTCCATTTACCTTATTTTAAAGGGACTGATTGCTACACTAAATGAATCATAATTAAATTTCATGACAGGTATTATTAACGTTGATTATTTTCTACACAGAAGCATGAGAAGAGCTTAAAATCCAAATCCAATTTCATTCGGTTCACCCTTGACTATAACAAAGGACTCTGTGAAGAGGAGAAGCGGTGTTTATGGGCTGAAGTCCCAGCAGCTGCTTAGTGGCAGAGTCCAGTCTTTACCCAATTCAAGCCGTGGCAGATAGATGGATACTGTCCTCAGTTCTTCTTACCCATTCATTCGCCTTCTATTGCCTCGAAATCCCAGGGAATATTCCTAGGGTAAAAAGAATGTTTCCATTGAGTTTGGAATATAATTATATGTGAAAGGTAATGAGTTACTAAATCTATCACATTATATTGGACAAAATGACTCTGTCAAAAATTAAGATATTTAACACATTAACTGCCGTGTGAGTTGTATTTAGTTTTGCGCCGGGGCCTCGTGAAGCATATGCAACTCACAGGTATCTTACCTTGGGAGCCACGTGAACTACTTTTAAGTTGCATATAACTCACACACAGAAAACAATAAAAAAATAACAAATTTTTCATTAAATTAAAGGCGTTTGTTTCAAATTTATTCTATTTTCATAATAAAAACCCGTGGCCCAAGGAAAAAATTTTTTCTAGTGTGGAGTCAAGGTGTTAATAAAAGCAGTTTCTTGACGAATCTTAAGAACGTCTTCTTTCTCACC